TCTAATGATTACCAGTTTTTTGGTGTATTTTTTTTGTGGGGTGGGGGGGGGGTTTACTGTGTATCTGAAAATAAATCTTGTACTGAAGAGCTATCTATAAATATGAAAGTATGAAAAGATGTACGAGCCAGTAATTGTTTTCAGCAATTGTTTCTTGTGTAACAGGTGTTTTTCCTAGACTTTGGTGACTGTGAATGGATCCCTCTCAGCAATATTCATGACTTAAAACCCGAGTTTTTACATTTACCAGTACAAGCTGTGGAGTGCTTCCTAGCAAATATAGAGCCAGTTGGAAGAGAAAAAGGATTAACATGGTCTCAAGCAGCAAAGTAGGTTTAGTTTAGTAATCATAGTTTTTTTTATTATTAGTTTCTTGATTTTATCAATTGACTTTTAAAATACTTAATACCTGTTAATCTATAACATAATTATAGTAAAAAAAATATATTGATAAACAGTTTTCTTTTGATTTTGTTAGTTTCTTTCATGTTATTCATTAATTGGGCAAACTAATAATACTCAAATATGCATCGTTTTATGATTAATTATACTTGTCTTAAGACAGTAGTATTTGGTCTATTGTATTTTTAGCACTGCATTCTTTATTTAATCCTTTAGGGTTTTCCGAGAAGAGTTTATTATAGTATTTTAACCACACTGTGTCCACAACATACATTGCCAAAGATGCATTTTGCTCATTACAGTGGAATTTAAATACTATTATACACTCTTCTTCTAGTTCAAAAACCCTAAGGGGTTGAATAAAGAATGTAGTGTTAAAAATATCGTAGGCCTAACTCTAATGTCACATGAGAAGTATAATTAATAATAATCCTTCCTTGTTAGCTAAGAAAAGACACTTGCACCAAAACAACTGTTGATGTTTTAATTTAACCAAGGTAATTGGAGAAATAACTCTACACTTGTATTTTATCATCTTATCTTTTAATTCATTTGTAATCTTAAAAACTTTGACCCTCTTCCTATCAAATTGTTTACTGTTTTAATGTCTCTACTATTATCCGTTAGTCTTGATGTTTCATCCAATAATATAACATGACTCAAGGAACCATAGATTAAAGAGATTTAAAGTGTGTGTGAGGATAATAAAGTAAGGAACACCGAAGTTTGGTCAAAATAAGCCATCTAGTTATTTTGTACACCAAGTTCATGTACTTATTGCTCCGTGTTTCAATGAGACTAAGTAAACTGTATATCATGTGCTGTTTTGCAGTGTCAGTCTTAAGTAACAAGACCCGTTAATAAATATCTACCCAATGTCTGGCTTATTAATAGTTAACTAGTACCTTAAATAAGATTAAATTAGTATCAAGTAAACTGTGTATCATGTGCTGTTTTGCAGTCTTAAGTAACAAGACCCGTTAATAAATATTTACCCAATGTCTGGCTTATTAATAGTTAACTAGTACCTTAAATAAGATTAAATTAGTATCAAACCCCTGGATAGTACTTACTCTGTATTCTGTGACCCCTATTTAATTCTACATATCTTATGATTAAATTGATACAAAGTTAATGGAAAAGAAATTATGATAAAAGATAAAACTTTGGCAAGTTGTAAACTTACCGATAGAAGGTCTCTAGTTAAAGTCAAGCATTAGAAACAAAGGCTCTTGAGCTACTGACTGTTATACGAGTTTTAACCATGCTTAAAAAAAGGTTACTCAGACAAAAACTAGCCCAAGTCGAAAAAAACAAAGATGCTAATCTTATGAAAATTCCAGCCCATCTTGACCATTAAACTGTACTAAACAAGAAAATGTGTAAAAAAATTAACTTGATCCCAAAAACCCAAGAAATTAAAAGACAAAAACTGGTTACTATTTATAGTTGCTACACTCTCTCTTGATTTCCAATCCATGTAACCATCTTAAACTGAAACAAAAACCCCTTTTACATATTCAACATGGTCATGGGTTTCTGGTAACTAAAAATAACATGATAGACATCTGAAGTAAACAAATTAACATATTAAATTTTGGATTAAAAGTATTATCAAAACCAATTTTTTTTTCTTCCTTCAAGAAACCTCTAAATATTTAGCTTTAGTATTAGTCATGAAGTCATACTCTAAGAAACTTTTAGATGTTTGACTTCAGTATCTCACACTCATCCACGTGCATGTTTCATTATTACATAATTATAATTTGTCAAATCACCAAGAAACCTCTAGATAAACTGTTCCATTACAACCACCTTGCTGGTCCGTGCGATTTCACGAAAACAAAGACTGAGAGAACAAACGTATGTAAATTCAGAACTACCTTGTCGGTTCATGGGTTTTTTAGGAAAACAAACAAAGACTGACAGAACATACATATGTAAATTCAGAACTGCCTTGTCGGTTCATGGTTTTTTTAGGAAAACAAACAAAAACTGACAGAATATACGTATGTAAATTCAGAACTGCCTTGTCGGTTCATGGGTTTTTTAGGAAAACAAACAAAGACTGACAGAACAAACGTATGTAAATTCAGAACTACCTTGTCGGTTCATGGGTTTTTTAGGAAAACAAACAAAGACTGACAGAACATACATATGTAAATTCAGAACTGCCTTGTCGGTTCATGGGGTTTTTAGGAAAACAAACAAAAACTGACAGAACATACGTATGTAAATTCAGAACTGTCTTGTCGGTTCATGGGTTTTTTAGGAAAACAAACAAAGACTGACAGAATATTCATCTGTAAATCGTAATGATTAGCGACAATTTAGGCAAGCAGCGATCCAGTCTCTGCTATTTAAAAACTGCTCTAGATGTTTCACTTAGATATTAGTTACATTTAGTCATATACAGGCTAGTAAGTGACAACACTTACATTGCATCTCACCCAGCTATGGCATTACCTGACCGTGACGTATATACTTTGAACAACAACAGTTACTCTGAAGTGTTATTCATCTTGCTAGTAACTATCCATTTCCAGTGTTCTCGTACCATGCTCTCGTTCACTCTTCAAACAAAAATCATGTATTGTTCATATAACTTTTTTTTTCTAAATTTTTTCACAATGATGAGTTATTTGAAACCAGCTAGTAACATGTAAGTTTGTTATTTGTCTGTATTTCCCATACTATTTAATTTGGGTCATTACTTTTACCCTTAAAACAGTTAGTCAGACCTGTAAGGAGGTCAGTTCACTGTTGTCCATGAATGAATTATTCACCTTGAAATTTCTATATATGTGTAATGGTTGCCACCATGAAAAAAGTTTTAATGCTGACAACTCTATGCCCTCAGAGTCTAAAAATTGTTTTCATACCTGTGGTAAGCACAGTACAGATAGCTCATTGTGTAGCTCTGCGCTTGACAACAAAGAAATACCAACTCTATATTGGACTTTTGATAGGCTTTTACAGTTAAAAACTGACAGAAAATGGTATTAACTTAATTGACGTGTATTAGAGGAACAGTCGATGGGTTCAGCTCGTGATAACAATACTGTGGTTTTGCACACGGAAGATTTGTATTCCTATTATATCAAAGAAAATGTTTATATGAAAGTCTTTCATAGTAGGCTTAGCTAGATTCTTGATTCAGATATATTTCAAAGCGAGAAATAGAAAATTGTAGTTCAAAATATAATGTCTGCATCATTATTACATGTTTGTCTGTATTACTAATTATTGACAAAATTAAATGCTTCTTTTAATGTGTGAGAATGTAGAAGTGTTTACATTCTTACATTTGTTTTATTTCAGAAAAATGTTTAATGAATTAGCCCATAACAAGCTTCTCTTAGCTCATGTTGTCAGCAAGTAAGTGGTGAATTTTCTTTTTTCTGTAACATATATATAGTTGAGTATAATTATTACAAACTTTTAATGGTCGTACAAATACTTAAAAGATTGGGAACTAGCCATTCGTTTGATAATAGTTTAGCATTTGTGGAGTTTTTGTATTACAGGTACGTAAGAGGTCTTATTTTCATTTTTGTGAACTTTGCATTATAAACTAATAGAGATTTGAACAGTTGTGGACAAAAAAAAAATCAATAAAAAAAGAAATATTTGTTAAAGTGCTTGAAAACAGAATTGTTTATAATTGCTCTGATCAATATTATATCTGAAGATATTCAGTAAACTCATTGGTGGTATTTAAATTAAAAACAAATATTAGTAATTTATGCGATATTACGTTGTAATAAGAGTGATAATAATTTCAATCATATCTTTCTTTACTGGCCCTCTGCAGTTTACAGTAAGACGAAAGTATACTAACATTTCAACTGTATGTTTTATAGCATTGTCCACAGGGCATTATACACCTCAAGGCTCAAGACATGATGTCCCATTTATGAGGCTTAGTGTGTTGAGTGTTGAAATGCTGAAAACTTGTATATAGATGGTAAAGAAAGATCTGATTAAAGATCTGAACTAAAGCATTCATGATAGCATAGCCTTTGTTTTTCCAATTTTATATGTTTTTAAGAGTGAGGTTTTTTTTTTAATTACATCAAACTTTCCAGCAAATCACTGGAAATTTAAGAGATATGCAGTGGATTTGGAATAGAAATAATGATTGATTTTCAGTACTTATGAATAAATATGCTGTTATTAAAGCTTTTATGATTTCCAAAATTAAAATTATTTTTAAGAGTTAAAATCTTACAATTTTGGAAAGCAGCACACAGTTCAGATGAAGTTTTCTTTAGTAAGAAAATAGTGAAAGTACCCAGCTTTGCACAGGTTATTAGATTGATATATTTTAGCAAGTGCATAAAATTTATTGTGAAAATAAAAAATACCAATCCAATTTTAAACACAAATTGTTTCTGAAATAAAGTATTTTCTGATATATCACCAATGTTTTTAATAAAAAACGAACCTCTTTAATCAGCGGAGACTCTTTCCAGTTTTGTTGTTTACACATGTCATTTTATAATTTCAGTACCTAGACTAACAACAGTATCAGGTTTATTCTTTTATTGTTAAGCAATATGACATAAAAGCCATTGTTACCAAAATGCACTGGCTTTCTATATATTAGAAGTTGTTAATCTAACTAATATACTACAGGGTATACTATGGAGCATGTATGCGTGCACAGACGTGGATAAGTAATAATACTCAGGTGCACACCCTAAGGGTTCACTAAGTATGGGTGCAAAATTACAGGGTTCTAGGTTCTTTCCTCTTTGGAACTATGGTGGTCACACACACACACACATGCCTTTTTATTATTATAGACAAAAGGATATTTTCAGTCTCAGTAATACAGACTTAATTTGATTTCTAGCAAAGTCCAGAAGTATATAGGAAAATAATAAACTACAAACTTAAAACACCTTTTTATAACTTGGACAGGTATTATAATCAGGAAAAGACGTATAACTCCCATCTTGATGCACTGCTAATAGTAGTATTATTTAAGACATTTTGTTACGTAAATAGGTTTGAGAACTTTAAGTTAATGACTTTGTAATATATAGATTTAGTCACCAGTTTTCCTGCATACTAGCTCAAGCAAAAAAATAAAACAGAAGTATGCATTTTAATTTTTTCATGTCCACCCACCCTCTGATACGTATTACAAATGACTTTGTAACAATAGATCGTGGTGGTAACCAGATAATTCCAAAGAGTAATTAGCTCATTTGGATATGTAAAGGAATGAGATTGGCTACTTTATGATGTCATATTGTTTTGCAAGAGATTCCCTTGATACTATGGGATATCGATGATTGAAAGTGGCAGAAAAAACAACAGGTACAAAGACATTTAAGAAGTGGTTAATTTTACTACATTTTTCTATCAAAACAATGCAAAAATAGAAGTAAATAAATAAAGGAAAAAGGCACAGAGAAGACAACTGTAATGTAAGTTTTGTCAGTGAATGTGTAGATATTTTCAGCAAATAAACAAATTGCAAGGATTCAATTTACTCTGTCTTCAAATATAAGTTAATTGATCATGGTATGTTTGTATGACTAACGAAGTTGATACCTACTTTGTTACATGGATGGTCCACTTGAGAAAAATCCTAGAAGCAACACTGTATCACCAACAATTCTAAATAATAATAGTATATAAGGAGAGTGACCTCTACATGGTGCATTGAAAGTGTTTTAGAATTTTCTTATATACAAGATGTGTGCATTAAACTCCTTTAAATGTGTAACCATACTTTTGGTAATTTTAACTGGTTAATACAACTACACAAGTAGTAGTAGTATCATATTGAATTCACTTATAGTTAAATTTATGATGTTTTGGTAATTAAAACCATGTTAAACATTTCACATTTCCTAGGCACTGAAATGAAAGTGTAACTTTATTTTTTTCTAAGATATTTATGTATTTGTTAGGTGTTGATATAAGCAACTCTATTTGGTGAATAATAGGTATTATTTATGGGATGACCCCCTGTCTGGAAAGATAATGTAAATATTACTTGAATTTTCTTCGAAAGATGACAAGAGTGTGATGAATAATTGGCATATTTAAGAAAGGCAATTTAATAATTACCATGTTTTTATAATTCTGTTGTAGATAAAGTTAACATATCAGAATATTATGGAAACCTAGGTATTAAGGGTTCATGTAAAAAATTCCCCCCACCCAAAGATAACTTTTTTTCATTTCATATAGCATGTAACAGTGGTTGTTAGGTTTAAATGGTGTAATTTAAATATTTTCAGTTAATGGAAGCTGCTGGAGTCTTCTTCCTCTCTTATCTTATTCAGTCTGAAGATTGAATGAATTGGTCTTTTAAATATTAATAACATTGTAAAAATTTAAATGTCATCTAAATCTCAGTGTGTTTAAGTATGTTTTAATGATATTGGTTGTTACTAATAAGCACCTTGTTCCAAAATACCATTATTGCTATTATACAAGTGTCATTCAACACATTTGCAATAATTTTATTTACTGAGTTTACTAATCAATGTTGCATAGTTTGTCCATGTGCAATGTTTCTAATTTTGAAGCACAGTTTTCATGTTCTTGGTATATATAATTTTTCTATTCTGTAACAGATGTATGCATAAATGTTCAGAAATAAAAGGGGGAGGGGGGCTATCAGAGAATCCACTTGGTCTATGAAGGGTTAATATTGTGGATTATGAATAATTTTTGGTTTCAAGGATAAGAAGTTTTCCTTTTCTCTCTCTCTCTCTCTAGAAGTGACGATGTGTTATATGTTGAACTTAATGTTCCCACTGACAACCATCATATCTCAATCAACGAAGCCTTGGTAACAAGCAGCCTTGCTCAGTATATGCCAAAAAGTCATTTAATTCGAAAGCCTTCTAACCATCCTGATCAGTGTACAGATGGAGCTGTTAAATCTAAAACAGTAATCCACATTCCTGGCTGAGGATTCCAAAAACTTTATTTTTCTACTTTAAAACTATAGCAGCTAAAAATATTAGTTTATTGAGCATGAACCGTTCATCGTGGTTCTCTTCTGTTAAGGAACATAATAAGATGATAAACATTCGTTTCACTAATTTTGTTCTTTCATTTTATGTAGTTAATGTAGTTTCGTTTTTAAGATACAAAGATTATGCATATAGTTTTTGAAAATTCTTTGTACAGTACTGTGAATGTGTAAAGAAAACTTGCTATAAAGAAGAAAAAAAAATGTTTCTGTTCCACAAATTAATGAAACAAACAGTAAAACACCCTTTCAAAAATTGTATTTTTTAATTAAAATGGTTCATCATATGTAGGTAAATCCTACATATAAAAAAAGCATGAAAAATTACACAAATCATTCATAAAAATTGCTTGTTTTATCACATTAAACCTGGTATTTATTTTCTTCAAAAACAAACACACCAGACCCTTTACTGTCGCACATACTGATTGTGTATTATTGCTGGAGTAAATTCATCCCCAATAGAATTTAAGTAAAAACTTGTAATTGAACATTTCATAACATAAGGAAGCGTATCATATACAAAATAAAATAAAACCACAACCTCTATAATGTATTAAATTAGTATCAAAAATCACCGGTCCATCCCCTCTCAGAAGATTAGTTATAAATATGCCTTAAAATTTATTGAAGTAAAAAAGTACTACTAAACATTTATGGCATTATAAAAAAAACTGACATTGTGGCAAGTAAGTAAACTGTTCCATTCTGATCATCAACGGAAAGAAAGAAACCTCTTTGGTAGCAAAAAAATATACAAATAAAGACCAACAAGTTGCATTCTCACAATGGTATATGTGATGAGATTGTGTGTATGATTAACAAAGGTTTTATCTTACCAAGATTAACCACCACAATAATCATTGTGAGTATTAAGTTTGCTTTGCTCCATAAAAAACCCACAAAAAACAGCTCTTTCATCTTGTTTTGTGTTAATTCTCTCTCTCAGCTTATAATACCGTAGTAACTGTTGTTCGAATCCCACTCGGCATTCCAATGGTTCTGGAAAGTCTCGAAACTTGGTTGTCCTTAGAGAATTCATAAAATATCCAGAAATAACTTTTATCACAGAATTAGCTTTAATGGAGTATAAGAAACTTGTTTAATTTGAAACTACGAATTTTTGATTAACATGATGAAAGACTTGTTGCTATGCAAACTGCATCATGTTATGATAATTCTCCTTATTTGATATCAATATATCACAGAGGCCTTGAAGCATGTATAAAAATGAAAAGTAATGATCTTTCTTAGCCTTTCTTAGTAATGACCTTTCTCTTATGACATGTAACCTGCATTGACCACTTTGTTTTACGTTCAACGTCGTTGCACCTACAGGATAAATCTACGTCTCGGTACATATTTCATAAATTGTTAAGCTCCTATCTTTGTTCAACTACATTCAAAACCATGGCTTCAAAATAGTAAATACAAATTAATTCCTGCTTCCTGCTACTGTAACCCTTTTTTTTTAACATGGCACATTTTTTCTTCATTAAGTAGTTTTTGTGACCTATCTGGCAGTAAAAAACTTCTACAATTGGCACCACATAGATGTAAATCCCACAATTCTGTCTCCTCTCTTTTAAACTACTTATGGACAAAATAGAAAACTAAAAACACCTAATTATTATTCATTTTCTTTTTGCTTAAATATAGATTATTGACATAAACTGCTTCTGGACAATATCGCCTGAAAGATATTTAGAAGAGTTTACTTACAAAATAATTTCATTGAAGAAGTTTGTCACACTTAAAATATGTTAAATACAATATTCTGACAACTTCATTTTGTTGCAAGTTCTGCCAGAACCTGTCAAATGTTTGGAAAGGAGTTAGATTTTTTGCCACACAAGAGAGAGAGAGAAGCAAGAACATCCTCATGAACGTACTTCTGTCACAGGGTGGATATCTACAAGAGATATCTGATGTGGCAGATAACCTAAATGTGCTTACTTGATATCAACTTAAAAGTATTCTTAAAGGATACTAATTAGTGACATAACTTAAAGTAAGGTAAATATACTTGTGTGAAAGAGGCTTTCTGTTCAAATCCAAAGAACGAACGTTGAATATCACGTACTACAGCTGTGTCAACTCGATATCACTTCAAAGAGATATGAGAGACGCCGTTGCTGTTGAAATAAAATATACCTTTTCAGTTGTTTGATTGAGTCAATCAACATAAAGGCTTCTATACACTAATTATCAGCTGAAAGACTGACAAAAGGTTGGAGATATGCAGCACAATTTCAAAAATTTGCAGAGTTGTATTGTCAAAAGATCTTGATTAAAAAAAAAAACATTAACTTTCATTAAGCACAACTTGAATATAAAAAAAATCACATCACAAGGTCTCTCTTTCTTTAGCCAGTTTCTAGAACGTAAAAGTTGTCCCCTATCAGGAAGCCAAAACACAGAGAACTCAGCAGAAGGAGGATCGTTTCTCAGCTCAGTGAGGCAGACCTGAGGGATTCTTTGGTGGCTGTGATGTAGAAGTATGTGACAGGATACTTTTGGCATACATCTCGCAGGCCTCAAGTAAAAAGAAATGTACAAAACACAATGTACAATTTAATGCAAGTGTCATATGCTTCTCATCTGTTTTCCACCAGCATCCCTGAACTGCCTTTTGGAACCTTGACTTGATCCTACTTTTCCTGATATCACACACAGAGTTGATTTCCACTGCCAGATCTGGCTAGGCATATATTTCAAGTTCTAGAAGCTAGAAGAGTGAAGACCTTGGTGTAATTGTGTAGTGTGATAAGGTGTGTTGTACAGTATGTGGTCTAATGAATCTGAATACAATTCGTAAATGTCTATTTTTTTTTCTTTACTTTTTGATTTTATGCATGAAATTTTTCTGTACCTAAAGACTGTATCAGAACAATTTGTAAAGTGCCAAGTCTTTCCAACCTCTTTCAGTTTCAGTAACTAGAAATAGCTGGTTAAATGGAAAATAATACCATCTTTGAAGTAAAACATACCAAGTTCTGGCAGAATTAAAATACTCAATAAAAAAAAAAAAAAAAGCCCAATTTAGAATACATTATTTTCACCAAACTGTTAGTGGCAACATCATCAACAACTTAATAAAAGCACTGTTGTTCCACTATAGTTAGTGGTCACCTCTAAGCAGCTCCATTAGCAGGTGAAAGCTAGGCACTTCACCCCCACGTTGTTTGCTAGCCAATGATTCCTTTCCCATCTGACAGGCTCGCTCCAATTCAGGAATTCGCAGCAGTAGCTCACCAAATTTGCTGGGAAGGTGCGGGTAGTGAATGCGGGTGTATAACTGGAGAGCTTCAAGCACTTGTTTCTGACAGGTTCGAACTTTATCTGGTTCTTTCAAGCCACTTACATCTGAATTCATAGCAAAATTTTATGTGTTATTCATTTAATAAAAAAAATACTTAAATTTAGTTTAAACACATAAGGTGGAGAAGATATTCTCTTTAACACTCAACTTATCAACTTGTTTTATAACATTCACAACTACTGGAATACATATATGTTTTTACTTGATTCAACAATCAGTGTGAAGAAACTAACCAAAACAACATTTGGGAAAAAATCATTATATTTTATGTAAAATACACAGAGGGCTTCAGCATTAATTAACTGAATAAATAAATTGGAATAGTGATCTGATTTTTTGGTGTTATTAATACTCTCAGGGACCATGTAACTAATGGTAACCCACTAGTAACTTAGTGCATAAAATATTAGTAACTTTTTTTACTTTTCTGACAAAAAGGGAATTTGATGAGTAATAGGTGTAGATGTAATTTACCCTTTGGTTTACCTTTAATTTAATTTCAACTTTTTTTATTAGTTTGTGTATATATTTAAAACAAAAGTCATATATCTCAGATTCTCACAAAATTATGAAATATATATATAATCATATCAAATTTGCAGGTCTAAAAAAAAAAAGATATGACAGCTTCTGAGTGTCAACCCTAATTTGTACCTTTATCTATTATTTTGTTTTATTATTAAGAAAAATTTCAAGTTACTTCCAAAAGCATTAACAAAGAAATAATGTTAAGGAAAGGCCCATGAAGAAATAACCTCTCATTAGTTAAGTTGATAAACTCAAGTTTACAGCATACTTGTTTTTCTACTAAATGTTATCAACCCACTTGTGTCAGTCTGAAAAATGTTCTTGTCGCAAGGTTTAGACACTCTCAAGACATATACAAATATATCGTTTATATCATTAAATTCTCTGGTATATAAAATAGAAATGGATTTATTAACATTTTATGTTAATATTATATAGTAACTTTCGTTACCTCCACTTGAATTAACCTTCCATATATATAAATATAAAAACTTACCCGAGGTCAATAAGATGATGACCTTCAAACAGACAAATTCATGCTGGTCTACTTGAAGAGTACGCAAATGTTCTGTTAAATTCAACATTCGCTCTATGACAGGGCCAAGACCAGTCTGCTGAGCTTGTTCTAAAGTGACAGGCTTTCCTCTTGATATGCGTATTTCATTTGGAGTAGACATGGACCGATAACAGCAGCTCAGTAACAGCATTTCACACCAGGAGTTAATAAGAAGAGAGATTTGATCATCCCTCTGTGATAGAAATGGAAAATTTCTTCAACAACTAATCTTGGATACTTATTAAATTCGTTCAGTCTGTGAAATGTAATCATATCAAGGGATATATGGCTATTTATTTTCACAGCAGGTAAATACAAATAGTATAAGACAAAAGTAAAGTTCAAAAACCCTAAATGGGAATTCTTAGGAGTGCAAAGTTAACTCCAAATAACATTTTAAGACGGTTCAGAAAGTACAAGTGATATCAATATTAAATTCAATTACAGAACTTTTTAGTACACTTGTGTGGCACTAGAGGGACATTAAGTATAGTAAGAAATTAGCTTTATCTTATGTTGACTTGAAGGTAAATTACAGCATTATATCTTTCATATGTATTTTGTTTTAAATCTCGCATTATTAAACTAATTTTACATTTTCCAACATTGCTGTAACTTTGACTATGTTATTGTAATTTCAAGTTAGGTTGTTGAATTCATCTCGCTGTAAGGATACTTGTCTCTTCAGTTTTTTTGTAGTACAAGAACTATTAAAATCATCATATTGTATTATGGTATAAGATATCCTTTATCTTGTTTCTATTAAAATGATACAGCTTTCTAATGTTAGTGTAAATGTTTTTGCAATTTTACGTGATAAATTTCACATTTGTTGAACCTTTTAAGATCGAATATACCTAAATATGAAGAAAATACAGAAAAATACTTGTAAAGTTTTAAGAGACTGCTCCTGCCTGTTTCTAGAATTGTATATTGTTTCAGCTTCAATCTGAAGAAAGCTTAAGTATAGAAGCTTGCAACATCATCCCACTATATAAACGGGCAGGAGCAGTCCGTTAAAGCCAAAATTTGGCCTACCGTACCCTCGAAACAATGTAAAATACTACTACTACTACTACTTTTTATATTTGTTTTTAAGTGTTCTGTTGTAAATGTAAAACGTTTTTTTATTTTAAAAATTCATCTTGTTTTCAGTACAACAAAGTTGAATATTCAGTAGGATTTAATCAAGTATTTGGTGTGTGTAATGTTTGATTTAATACAATCTGCAAGAGATCTTGAGTAAAAAAAGACTCACTTGGATTTCTTTGAAAAGTGGCAAACTTTTACACCATTTCACAATCTTGTAAAGCCTATCATCTGCAATCTTGCAGAGTGTTGTCAAAAAATCTGATTCACCATTTATAGGTTTCTCTTCCAACTGCTCTGGAACCTTGGTCATTTCCTTTTCTGAATAATGCCAGAGATGCTCTACAGACATTATCTCCTGGATGAGTTGTGGTATATAGGGTGGAGACTGATTGGCTGGAGAACGGTTGTGGCCATCTGAAACTAAATCAAAAATTAATTCTTAATGTGTCAGAAGACTTGTTTAGAATAACCAGATTAATTCTGTATCACTACAAGTAGTGGTGAAAACCTATGACAGCGATAAGCCTGATTTAGTATACAGAAATTGTACGAAACCTAAAAAAAGTTAAGGAATAATTTGTTTACCAATGGGACCACACCAATCGTTGATGGTGTGAGATATAAATTGTGTGACCATATTAAAAAAAATTAAATCAAACTCACACCCCCTACTCTCGGTACAGCCCTGCTTACCAAAATAAGAAAAAGCTGTATACAATAATAAATAAAATTCATTACAAATGAGACAGGGTTTTGGAACCCTTCAAGACCATGAAACTTACCTCTTGCATGGCTTTGGAACATGTGGTCTGTATGAGGAGGCCCCATGCAACTCTCAGATCCTGATGGAATCCAAGGATCATTGACAGACTGATTGGGTATGGAATAAGAACACTGATAAGTACTCCGGCCACCTCTAGTGCGGTCTTCACGGATAGCTGCAAGTTGCATCGACAGAAAATCTTTAATCATAATATCCTTCAAACAATAAAGGAACTTATATTGTACATACAAGAGTAGGCCAAGGGATACTGATGAAAGTTGTGAAAGGACTTTTTCAAGGGACTATAAGGCCTTACACTTCCCAGGAAACATATGCTAGAGATCAGTGATAACAAGTGGGTAATTTAATACCTTAATTATCCAACATAATATAAGACAAGATCAAGTTCCTGCAAAATAGCTAAGTTATTTTGATAGAGCAAATAAAAATCACCATTAAAGTAAGAATAATTGTGGTATGTTACTAATAAAACATGATAGCTAAAAACGTTTTAATGACATTTACTAAAATCAATGAAATATATATTTTTTTTATTAAACTGCTTCCTCAAAATTTTGAAGTTTGATGCCACTGTGAAAGAATAAAATGCACAGAAATTCTTCTCCAAAACAGTATAGCGAGTCTCACAATACAAACACTGCCTGTTTGACCTTGAACAGTACACCTACACGTCCTTCCAAGCTGGCAGGTTTGAAGGTCACCTTATGACCTTCTTCTAGGAGATAGGAACATTATCAGGTGAATGCCAGAATGAAACAATCAGTTTTGCCTACCTGTACTTTTTTGTAAGACTGATCGCAACACTTGTGTAAGCAGTGGTTTTACAACTCCTCTTTATCCTTGACATTCTCATATCCTGCCTTGTTTCGCTCTAATGACTGTATTTTTCCTTTTTATCGTGTGATAAGAAATATGTAGGAATGGCTTGAAATATAGTTTGATAACGTCATAAAAGTTATATTAAAAAACTGGTAAAAAATAAAACAGATATGGAAAAATGAATAAAAAAAATACAATGGTAGTGCTTAACAATGTATAATAATTTGATCAATATTATTAACGTACGGTGTCTATCAACACAATACAGAAAAGGACATATGATTTCTCTCTCTCCCTCCAACTTTGCAATTCTCTCAACGGCCAAACATGATACTGAACTTCTAATAAATAATAATAATATACATAAAAACTCTTCTTCTGTCACTAAATATTTAAATCTATTTTAATTTAACTATTTCATTTGTGTCACTTTTTTTTTCTTTTTCTCTTGTTATGATTTGGTTATTCAAATTGTTTACTTCTTATGTATATCCTATTTCTGTTGTAATTACAAATATTATTTGTTTGTTTTGTATCTCTAGATTACTGATGATTCTGAAACGTTTAATAAATACTTCCTATTATCAGTTCGTGTTTTGCTTTTTCATAAAGAACAGTCATAAGTTCCCTTATCCTCAATACTTCTAGTAGTAATTTAATCTTTTTTATTTATGACCTAGAACCTCACGATTCATGGTGGTACTTTCACAACATTCATTCACAGCTCTGAGAACTCAGAGCATTCGGTTATTATTCTATCAAAATTATGAACTGTGTCTTATCAATATTTTGATTTTATTGTTTAAAGTACATTGCTGCTAATTATTGGAACAACTAATTTATGCTATAATATATGTGAACACTGCTTATTCAGAGAGATTTCAATATAAGGACTCATTTTTTATATACATAACGAGATGTTAATATCAACAATGAAGATCATAGTAGGATTTCTAGCAAAATAACTTTATTTTGTGGGGTGAGCATAGCTAATGCTTTCTTTTCCTTTTAGAAACAAAGTTTAAAAATAGCTCAAGTGTGTTTCTTAATAAAATTAAATTCTGAAGTATAAAAAAAAAAAAATATATTCAAATTCTGGTGCAAATACATTCTGAGAAATTGACAAGTAATTACCTTCCAGTTTCATCCCCATCTTCAAACACTTGTTAAATCGACAAGCTGGGCACTTCTTTCTAGTGGTCATCGCTACATGACAGTTGGCACCACGTAGACACACATAGTTTTTTTTGTTTTGCACAGTCCTTTTGAAGAAACCTTTACAGCTTTCACAAGAGAAGATGCCGTAGTGGAACCCAGAGATACGATCTCCACATATGGGACATGGCCCACTCAGAAGCTGTTGGCGAGATATGCCACCCGTTCCTCCTGAATATCCCAGAGATATGTCTGTCATTAAAGACACTCTACTCTCGTCGCTGCTGTTGTCTGTAGATAATCGGTGAAGAGGTCCAGCAAAGTCACTAGCATTCGATTCATCTGAAGCACTAGATGCTATAGATGCACTCGAGGCTTTAAAAAAAAAGCAGATACACATTCCTGAAGTTAATTATTCTGTTATGCAATTTTCATGCAAGAAAGATTTTCTCACATAAATATTTTTTCTGGATAAAGTTCCCTAATGAAAGTTAATTGTAGTTCCTTTCTTTTAAATAAGATATTAAGTCTAAAAAAGTGAACAGAGCATTCATAAGCTCTTACAAGGACCATAAATTATTTTATCATTTTAGGATGTTACTCACAACATCTTTAAAAAGTTAATTCAGTACATTAATGGGTCAACTAAAACTAAAAATCAATTCAATTATGTTAACAGATATCCTATCAACTTAAGTACAGTCTTCGGGTATTCCAGAATAAGTAAAGCATTCAGAGGCCCTTGAATACTACTGACAACATTTAGTGACTTCCGACCAGTGAATACAATCTTAAATTTCAATATGATTCACCTTGAGCAAAATAGTGTTCAGAAACCTTCAAATATAAAAACAGTCTTTTCTTGCATACTTTAAACAACAGTAAGGCATAATAGAGTGATTATAACTTCACTGTTCAATTACACTTCATATTTATGTCAAAAGCGATGTTTGGTTTTCAAGAAAACTTTAAAACACCGGTAAACAATATATTATAGCTTCATTGTTCAATTATTCTTCATATTTATGTCAAAAGTGACAGCTGGTTTTTAAGAAAACATTAAAACACTGGTAAACACAAGAGAATATAATATTCTTCATATTTATTTTAAAAGTGACATTCTGTTTTAAGGTAAACTTTAAACAATAGTCAGTTTTCAGGCCAAATTTTAAACAACTGCTAATCAATCTTATCAAGCTATAATCTTATTATTTACTTATAATTTACAGTCAAAAACCAACTTTAAGTATCGTGATATACTTAGAACAACGTTTAATCACTGTCATCTAGTCAACTATATTATTGCATTGTTCTTCATAAACTTATCCTTAAAAAATAGTCTGACGCTCTTCTTTAAGTACTTAAACACCACATTAAAATGTTATGAACAATTAAAGATCAACATTAAGTTTTGTGATATACTTGGAACAATGTTTAATCACTGTCATCTAGTCAACTATATTATTGCATTGTTCTTCATAAACTTATCCTTAAAAAAATAGTCTGACGCTCTTCTCTAAGTACTTAAACACCACATTAAAATGTTATGAACAATTAAAGATCAACATTAAGTTGCCTAGCAGCATTAACATAATATCATGTTTCAACTTCCAGGCAACACACAGCAGTTAGAAATTAAACAGTTAGGGTACCCGAGCACATTTTACTTTTAAGTCACTACAAAACCCTCTACTTGTCATAGCTTATAAATCATGCTGTAATAAAACAGTAGATGTGACCTTGAAACCTAATCAGACCAGGCAAGGATATAAACATTCTCACATTATTATCAAGGTATATCTAAACAGGACTGAATTTCATCTTGATCAAAATGTTACCTTGAAATCTGAACAAACAACTTGGAAAAAACAGCAGTAAATGGTGAGCACCTGAACTTGTTCTGTCACAAAAACAATGACCTTGGCAAGGCATGAATTAAATGGAAAATTGTGTACAGAAGCCATTGTACTTAGACTTGCTGTATTAAGTTAATCACATATATTATAAATAAAACATCTCATCCTTCTCTTCAAGATTTATAAGAAAGTTGTTCTTATATTGAACTCTTCTTTACCTGCTGATCGGATCTCAAAACTGGACTGATGAAGAAGTGGTGAAGTGTGAGAAGTAGGTTCAGAGAAACTACTATGACCTTCATACCCAGAACTAGGTGGTCGTTCAAACCCTTGTTGATTCTGATGAAGTAATGTGGGGGATGGAGAAGCACCAAATGGAATGGGTCTGGAGAGCATGGCTTCTCTTCCTTGAGTTGAAGTAGGGTTTGACGAAAAACTTGCACTTCCATCCGGGTAATGATGTCCTCCGTGGTTTGGGCTCCGATTCGGGGAAAAGAAAGATGCCTCCGCTTTGTTTCTGTTGCTCTAGTTTACACATATAAAAATATCTAAACATTTCAAGACTGCCTCGTGAAACTAAATTCTACATCAAAACAAAATACTTCGTTTACAAATCCAAGAGCCAAAACCAATTTTAACCTAATGAAACTTCATTACTTAATTCGTACTATAAAAAAAATTGCTATCACAAGACGCATCAAATTTCCAATCATAATATCTCTTTTATTACATGTTGAAATGCTTTAACAAATTTTAATAAAAGTAATAAAACATATTCTTTTCCAGTAAGATATTTAAATAAAAACTCATAATTTACTTGATTTATTTGTAAATGTTACCTCGATATAAGGTGTTAATATTATTCTTGCATTATAGTTCATAGAAGTTTTTTACCTACTGCCAGTAAACGTTTATGTAAATCATTCTTCAGAAAGTTGTCTTTTAACTTTTCACACACTATGTTTGTTTGTTATGGATTTTGCGCAAAGTTACATGAGGGAAGGCAGCTAGTCATCACCACCCACTGCCAACTCTTGGGCTACTCTTTTACCAACAAATAGTGGGATTGACCGTCACATTATAATGCCCCCACGGCTGAAAGGGCGAGCATATCTGGTGTGACGGGGAATCAAACCCGCGACCCACAGATTGCGAGTCGAGCTCCCTAACCACCGGGTCTTGCAGGGCTCAACACACTATGAGCTGTGGTGTGACGGGGAATCAAATCCACGAACCACAGATTGCGAGTCGAGCTCCCTAACCACCGGGTCTTGCCGGGCTCCACACACACTATGAGCTGAGAAAATCTAGTCATCACTACAAAGGTATCTTCATACAATAATTGAGACGTTAGTATGGAAGTTATGATTCACAGGGTAAATCACAATTTCAGTTACTCTGTTGTTTGTTTTATTTCTGAAAATTCTTTAATATAATCTCGTATAACTTGAAAAAAAAAAGATTGTTTTTTTGTTTACTTTTTCTTGTAAAAACCCTTCGCATTTATGGGTTAAATATGGAGAAGGTATTGCAGCCTTGCTGCGATGTACATATTTTAATTTAGTTATTTACAAATTTTCACATTGAATGTAATTGTTCATAATTAAAAAAGAAAAAAAATATTTTTGAAAACTGATATTAAAATGGACATAATAATGATTGCTAGGCCCAGAAACACTTTCCATTGCCCTTCTTACCTGCTGTGGACTATTCCGTTGTGAAGAGACTGCATGATCAGTGGTGACTCCAACTGATTGTTGGTGGAGCTCTGGACTTTTACAGTTAAGATATGGAGCTGAAGTAAGGCCACTGGAATGCCCGTTTAACAGAGGGCTCCGAGCTGGTGACTGAGAAGATCTGGAACTACAGCTACCTGGAAACACAGGACTGGGAGATTGACTATAAGGTCCAACTGCAAAGCCAACTGCATGATGAACAGGACTATTATGACCGAGAGCTGGAAAAGGGTTTCTTGCTAGGGGGTAACAAAATCAATCAAATGATGACTATCAAGTTCCATGGTGTGTGCACTGCCAATTTTATAACCTATTCATTAATTTCAACACACACACACACATACAAAATTATTATATAATTCACTGTAATGATAATGTCTTCGGTTCTAGTTTCTGCAGGTAAGACACGAATAGTCCCATTTCAGTCTTTTAAAGAAAAATGCCCGTACATTTAATTTCTTTTTTCTAACATAAGATTTCCGAGTTAGAGCGAGTGAAATGTTACATCTGTCCGAGAAAAGTCAGTGAGTTGGCAGGTCTTGCAGACATCATAATTTTGTTTGTACATGAAACTTTTTGTTAACCGTTTATTGCATAGACAAATTTGTCACGTTTCATGAAAAAAAATACCTCCACACATTTTAAACTAAGTATATTAGTAAGAAAAACAATTAACCTAAGATAAAATGTTCAACTGGAAAATCATCATTAGCTTATCCTATTAAACACAATAAAAACAGTACTTGTATACCTACAATATCTTACACCTAATTTAGCAATAAATACAGTGGATTTCAAACACAGTTTGTATTACTTATATATATATTTTCAAAAAGTAAAATAATAATAATAATAGAAAACAGGCAAGAGGAAGTTGTTTTTCTTTTTTCAACATTTAGCTAGTAATCACAGCAAATCATAATCATACGAGATAATGATGAAAAACATAACAGACGATTTACCATTTGAGCTTTAATACGACCTGGAATCATGGAACAAAATAACTAGCACACTTACCGCAAGGAGGTCCTACAGATGGATAGTCTTTACCAAACAGTAGAGACGGGGTTGATCCAAAAGACTGGTGAATTCTCTTGTCAACTGCATGATTATACGCACTTGGAAGTATAGTACAAGACTTCACACTAGTAACTGATGTTAATCCACCTGTGTATCTGTTACTGTTCTTTTCAGTGTCAGTATGTAGTTCCATCATGGAAGACGTCTGAGTTTAGGCAATGAAACAATTATAAAAAAAAAAGGGGGGGAAACCAGTTGTTTTTGTTGGCTTTTTTTATCTATTTGTTACAAGTTAAAATATACAAGATTAATTAGTTCCCCACTGATAACAGATATAATAGGTAGTAGAAATGAACACTTCTGAACAATGAAACAGAGGAAATAAGGAATACTTTCAACAATTGATATTCTGTTGTTGTTTTTTTTCATGTAATCAGGACATTAATTTAAAATAAGAGAGTAAACTAGTTTTGCTGATAGCATAAATAAAATAATAAAAATTTTATCTCCAGACTGCATCTTTATTGTTTCAGTATTTTGTTATCATAGCTGTGTCAGGAGTTAACAGTACCCTACAAGTTCACTAAATTGTAACACCTTCATCAGCTATGCAAATATGCAAAAGTTTCAGCTCATATTGAAAATTATATCAAACATTATTGAAATTAAACTGTTGAAATAAACTGAACCAACAATAGTAAATAAACAATATTTGCAAATCAACAAATGAAACAAACCTGAAATGAAGCAAACCTTGGATGTTATTACTGCTTCATAAAAAAAAGGGGGGGGATGAAGAGTAATAACATTTCCTAGGTTTCAGCATACTTAAACTGTAAATGTGCACATTTAATCAATGTCTTAAAATTTTGATTTTTCCTAGCTTCAAAGTTTATCAATTGCGATGTAAATACTTTAAAAACACTGCTTATAATTAATCAGGGTAGCATGTTTCATAGTTCACTAGATAATGTCGAGTTA